TTATAAACACAGGATTGAAGTAGCAAAGCATAGCGACGCCCTCTAATCAATAAGCATTTCGAAAATGGACGCATGCGAAACGCAATGATGCAGATCTTTGAGCGCAAAGGGAGCACGCTTGTAGTCGAATGATGTGACAGCGGCGAAAATGTTGAGATAAAGGCACTTTTATGTTTACATTCGTAAAATGAGTGAATAGATGGTTTTTTACGGTTTTCGAGAGAGTTTGAAAAAGAGTTTTTATTACATTGTGCAGTGGATGTTTTGATTCAAAAACAAACGGGGCTTTCATTAAGCACTTCTTCCGGTTGGATAGACAGTCAAACCTAGAGAACAAAAGAAATCTGATACATAAAGAATCGTTAGCTCAATTCAAAAATCTTCAAATAGCGGGGAACCACGACGAGTCCCGAAGCAAACGCTTTTCTAAATAGCGCCTATAGGTACTGGTTCACTAGTACTTGAAATGAAGCACTGAATGATAACGAAAATGAAAACAAAGAAAAGCAAAGATGAAAACAAAGATTAGGCAACAAGAAATGAAAAAATGACGCGAGCCCACGCTGCCAATCTCGTTTGCCTGCACATCTAACTTTTCTGGTGCGATCAACAATGTCTCGAGCGGGCAACGATATGGCATCCAGTTGGCAGCCACAATACGGCGTTATGAATTAAGGCTGCCTGCTCATAGCATTGATGCGGCCCGCTGACAGAAATCTTGTATTCGCAGCCCCATCGTTTCACGGTCCCTGCCAGCTTAACGGAGTCGCTGCCTCATCGTCGCCTTTTGGCTGCTTTTGTAGGAATGAATGCGCTCTGCAGCTATTTTCTGACTCATGGAAGATTATAGCTGCCCGCTGGTAGCCCGTCGCTGCCCGCTCACCGCCATTCCTACAATGTCGTCGCCCGCTCACTGCCACTTTTGCAGTATCGCCGCCCGCTCAGTGAAACTGCCCTTTATCGCCGCCGGCTGAGAGCCTGTGATTGTCTGAGTTTTCTCTTTCTCATAGCTCGCCGTAATTTTTCAAAAGATTTTTTAACAGAACCATCGTATTTTGGCAGGCCCACCTCAGCCACAATCGCATCAAACATCATAATTTTTCGGAATTTCAGACTACTAACAAGGAAAGGAAAGTTGGTCGAAGTGGCCTTTTGAAATGAGGTGTATACGGCCTTGTAGAGCTTAGAAAGCTAATTCCAAATCTACCTTCGCTATCTGCTGCGGGCTTTTGGGCGAGGAGTTATGAAGGTTTTGTGAGTAAAAATTTGAATGCAAATATAGGGTAAAATCAATCGTAACCTTTTCCCAATGTTCAAATGAGGCAGCAGAGAACTGGTATATTTGAATCAAGAATATTTGTTGCACCGAGTGACCCGACTATCAATTAAGCCCTATAAAAAAATGTTACGACTGATTTTAGCCTACTCTTGCATTCAGATTTTTACACCCAAAAACCTTCATAACACCTCGCCCAGATGCCCGCAGCAGATAGCAACGGTAGATTTGGAATCAGCGTTCCAAGCTCTACAAGGCAGGACACATCTCATTTCAAAAGGCCACTTCGACCAACCTTCCTTTCCTTGTAAGATGATACTATGAGTTATCAATTTTACAAAGCAAGTGAGGGCTTACGGGTTTGAAGTACCAAATTTCGAATTTTTTGGGTACAGCCTGGGGCTCGCTAAAAAATTGAGTCATGATGATTCTCAACGTAAACTAAACGAATCGGAAACAAAAAGCACCTTTTAGAAAGAGGAGAAAATGCTGCATTGAATATTGCGCGAGCTACTCTTCTTTTGATGTTCTACGAGGATTTAGCTGCCCAAGTATGGAAATCGGTAGCATCAGTTAAAATTCTGTTAAAAATATATGATAAGCTATGGAAAGAAGAAAAAAGTAGTACTGTATTTTATAAGGTTTACCCTATCGAATCTTTACTTGAACTCCTTCTAAGGATTGATATGAAAGTAAAAATCGTGAAACTTAACCATCTCAAAAAGCATAGGTTCGCAGGTTTTTGTTATTTTATGAAAGCTCATTGAGTTTTATAACAATGATTTCATAACCATTAAAAAGAGAATGAAATTTTGCATCGAATGCTTCCAAGATCTTCTGGAAACCCTTGTTCGATCAAATGTGGTACCCGTTTAAAAAAGACGAAATTAGTTTTGAAACGACCTAATATTTAGTTCTAACTATAACTCGCATAAAGACACAGGATAAGAGCCTTCAAAGGCAATGCGCGTTTTACTGAACATCACACCGCGGTCAATAAAAATGATAAATTCGTGTATAGGCCGCTATCTTATATTAGGTTGTCCCGGAAGTTTTGTCGGTTCTTTCAAACCACTATAAAACCGCACACAGTGAAGACCTGAATGAGTATTTGATGCAGCACTTCTCTTTCTTAAGGATACATTTTCGAACTACAACCTAGTATGCTTTTTTGATATTTGCCAATTCTCCATCCGCCAATTATACGTGCTCAAAGTTCGGCTAATTTCTAAAAATGTCATCGCAAAGTTTCGAGAAAAGTTGGTTATGGGTCAAATAGAGCAATTCTCGAACTACAAGGAGCTATTTTTAGGTTTCCCTGACCTGCTTTTTCTTAGCTTGAAAAAATTATTTTTTAAGAAGTCTCGATTTTTGGCAAAGTCATAAAAAACGCAACTGCAGCAAATACACGAAAACTTCCAAAGTTTCTGCAATTTGAAAAATGATTCTATTCAAACATTATTATGCAACATGACCAAGTTTGATTTGCTTTGAAAAACAGCTTTTTGGAATTTTCGGTACTTTTACGTGTAAACGTAAACAAAAAGCAGCGGTGTTTTATTAAATAAATAATTATAAAGGACTTGGTAAACGTGGCCCATGCAATCTAAAATGGATAAAATGTAGCCAAAGGTTTGCTCTACATGGCAGTTACCAGCGCTCTTTGAAAACATTAAAACAAAAAACTTTAAAAAAGATTTGGCGTTACTGCTAAGCTGCTCAAAAACCTATGGCTATAGCGTCGCAAAGACAGGGCAGATCAGAGACCAAATACAGCGCTGAGAAAGAGGATAAAAATCTGGTTCAAATGTTACCTAGTTTGTCCATGCATTGATGTTCTGTGAGTTTCAGTGATTAACGAAAAAAACCCGACAAAACTTTCGGGACAACCTAATACTTAGGGAAACACGAAAAATTTCTTGAATATTTGAATATCAAATGATATTCGGTTAAGAATTTCAAATATTCGACTTCCTTATATTATTCGGAGATGAAAAATTTCGAATATTCGACTACCGAATATTATTCGAAATCACATATTTTCACTCGAATTTTCAAATCATTCGCATTCGAGTGGTTTATTGGATAGTCCAATAATCATTCGATTTTCGGTTCAAAATATACTGTTTAGGATGCGCCAAAATTACCTGCAGAAAGTAGCCATTTCAGTCAAAGAGCTGTTATGAGAGCTCTCATACTTAAGCATCTTGCATTTACCTTTCATCTTCAAGGAAAGAATGAATCTGTAGTGATGCTTTTTGTGAATACACTTTTCTGCTCTTCCGCTGCAAGACTCCTTTGCGCCAAGCGCTTATTACCTTCGCTTTTAGCCTTGAGCTAACTTCTAGAAAGTTCCACTACATTTATCGCGTTAACTTTTTTTGTCTGCTGATTACGCCTATCGAGGTTGTTTCGCAGAATGAGATATGTGTTCAAAGTTTTTTGTGTTGTATGGAGTATGTGTAGGGTACGGTAGATTATGTAGAGGGCTCGCGCAGTAATCCGTGAATTGTACCCACTTTGCATTTTGAACAAAAAACTAGGCATGCATTGCTGGCACAAAAAGATAGCAGCGCAGATCAGAGCATGCTAATGCTGATGAAGAAGCACAAGATTAAATTGAGTTATGTCGCTACAGAGAATGTTCACACACTACTTTTTTGTTTTCTTAGCAATGCTAAATATTAATTTTTGCTTCAGAGTTAAATTGCTTCTAACAAAGGAGGTCCATTTGGTTCGAAGTGGCCTTTTTACATGGAAGATACGGATATAAAGAGGATTGAGTGCCGACTGCAATTCTGTCTGTCTTCGTTATCTGCAGAGCGCCTCTGTGATTGAATTATGAACGTTGAGTTGAAAAATTAATTGCATAATTGGAACAAAATTCGTCAGAGTTGCTAAAATGGTCCAATGTTGATTATCAGATTACTCCATTCAAAGCCAGTTTCCAAGCAAATCCCCCCACTTATTAGCACATAGTTGTAAAGCGAGTCCTATGAGTATCCAACCTGCGTTGGTTCGATCCTTTGACATGGCCTCAAAAAGGACATATGGGTCTGTGATACGTATCGCAAACCGCCCCCTGAAAACGTGTGCTCACGCATCGATCGATCGTGGCTCCCCCTGCTGGCGAGCCGAGAGGATGAACAAGCCGAAACTCGTCCGCGCCTTCAAAAGGGTCCCTAGAAATTGGGTGTTTTTTTTTTGGAGGATTTTGGACACTCTAACTTCATAACTGTGTGGGCCACGGAAAGGTCCTAGAATGACAAAAATATGAGAAGCGAAATCTTCCTGGATGCTGCCTTCAAGCAATATCTTCTGTCCTACCTAGATTATGCGTCCACTTTTCGCACCAAAAAAGTGTTTAAGACTCGGCATGCAGAGGCGCTCGACAGATCTTAATATTTGGAATCACCGTTTGATGCTCCAAATTGGTGTAAGACTCACTTGAAAAGGTCATTCGACTAATCGGATCTCCCTTGTAAAAACTTCTTGAAGTTAAGGGAAATTTCCAGAATATTGCCATTCATATAGCAAAGTCTCAGTCTGTGTTTTCAGCTAAAGTACCCATCTTAGTACGTACTAACTTCTTGAGGAATATCCAAAAAGACTGAACAAATAACATTTTATAAGGAACTTACCGCGTCTCTACGCCGCGCCACCAAAATTTTGGAGCGATCGTCAAGAGCAAGAAGTTAAAAACATAGCAAGAAAAGCCCTTTACCTGGCTCCCATTTTCACTGAATTGCGTGCAGCATTTATTTGCGATTTACCGCAGTTGTGTGCATCTGAATATCGCATACACGGAACGTTTCCGTAATTACGAAATAGAAAGGATTACCGTATGCATCATACTCGCGTCCACTCGTAATGTGAAGTATGATCAGTAACCAAGCGAAGATTCTCATAGTGTCACTTTTTGACCCAAAACGACTTGCGTGGTTCTATGGATGCGAATATTATTTCCTTGATAACTTTCGCCCAAAGGCTGATAAATGTAATTTATTGCTTTGCCATTTGAACGAAATGTACTTTTTAATTAGAATGGGGTCGAAAGAACTCAGTGCTTAGATCATTCACAACGTGTTTCATTCACTCTTTTTCTTGCGTAGAATTAATTATTTTCCATACGGAAAGGCACATATCCTTTTTAAGTTTTGCTTTTGCTCCAGCGGTTAGATTAAGCTAAGCCATCTTATGCGTTTGCACAAGATGACTTGGTCTAACGTGTCTTGTCTCAACGTGGAAAAGAAAGTGTTTTCTCAAACGTGAAATTGCAATGTGGCAGCATCAAGTAGTAACATTCTCTTCCTCATGCATGTATACGAAAAATGGTAAACGGGCTGCTCCAATATGAGCATAATGGTCCTCTAGTTTACAAAAAATACAACATGGTAATGTTCCGAAAAGATTTCCAGAGAGGATACTGCTTGATTGTCAATTTCTTGCAAGGAAGTCCCTCGAAAAGCTCTAGATATCGTTTTGTAGAGTGGTCAATTTAGATTTAAAGTATGGAGCAAATTAAGGATTTATCTTCATCAATGTGGGAGCACGGCAGAAACTTGCAGTGTATGATGCCACTGTGAAAAAGGCCCTTGAAAGAAATTCCAAAACAACTCAAAAATCGGGTAAGAAGGTTTTCACGCAAGCTGATTGTACACAGAATTTTGCTCTTCAGTAGAGCTTTTCAAATGGCCCAATCAGATTTGTTTGATAGCAAAAAAATTGATAATTGTGTATATCTGGCATAACTTATGGAAAATGCCTTACGTGACGTGCGAGTTTCATATCTAGAATCAGCGACTCCAATTAACCTGGTGTAGGAGGCTTTCAGCTTCTCTGGTTCTATTTTAGGGGCGAAATATAACCTTTGTTTATTCAAACCTCCTCGAAGTTCGTACCGTAATCCCACAGCATTGAAGAGGGATTCTTGATCTGTACTATGTTGTAAACCCAAGTTAAAGCCAACTCTACAAGGTAATATCTAAAGTTTTCAAAAAAGACTTTGCTGCAAGAAAGTTATTAACAATTTAAGGCACATCTTTTAAAGACATCCTGTCTTATCCAAACTAGGAATTTCATTGTTGAACAGGTAAAATTGATCGCTTTCTACATTATTTCACTTTCAAGTATCTAAGGTGTTTTCTGTCCTCAAGTACCGGTTCCAGTGTGAAGTGCCGGAACAAAGTACAAAAAAAATATCCATCTCCGCTGAATTGACTTAAGTTCCTAAATGATATTCCTGCATGCCAGTGGCGGTTCCACGAGGTTCGTGGCGTCAGCTATACACTACGAAAATTCTTGCTTCTCAGAATTTTTGCCGGATACTCCTGAAGCAGCCACGCTCCGAAAAAAATTTTTTTACAAAGCTAATTCGAACTTCAAGAAAATTCCAAAAAGTAGTTTTTTACAAATATGAGTTACCTGCGTCTTTTCATGCATATGTAAGTATTAGGTCGGTACAAAAATAATGTCCGTTTCTTTAGACCGATTTTTCGGATAACTTTTCCTACTTTTTAAATACAGATCCTGCAAATCATTGAAAAGTTTTCTCCATGTAATTTCTAGGAGTGGTGCAGTTAGGCTCCTGTTCTCGTCTTCAAAAATCTCATATTTTGCCCCACACACACTCGAAAGTGAAATTGCATTCCTTTCACTTTTTTGAACACAATTCAGGCATAAATGAAAGAATTCTTTCAAAAAGATGACTACTGTATAAAATGCTTATTGTTTACATATGCACGCTTGGGTACACTTCTCGATAATACTTGAATTAAGAAATCGATGCCTTAGAATAAATAATCGCTGCTGGCATTTTGCGGCTCAAAAATTTCTCCAGTTTAAAGCGACCTCCAAATCGCTCATTTCTGTAAGCATGAATTTAGAACACTTTGTCTACAATTTTTGCAGAAAACTCAGGTATTTAGCACATGAAAGACTCCAAATTATCGTAATTTGGGAACTTTCAGACCTATCGAAAGGCTCAGAAAAGTAAACAATTTTCGATTTCTATTTTTTGTTTTCACAAACTGCGGCTACATAATGAGCTATTACTACACAGATTAAAACTCGAAGGGAGTTTACTCATGCGCGAGATTTTCAAAAGAAAAACTTTCGGTTTTTGACGCATGATTTTCTTTCCGTTTATGATATCACTATGTCCGGGACGCTCAGAGTTGCGAAAGGTTTACTGCATATGACTGTTTTGACTATTAACGAAGACTGGACTAGGTTACAGCTCCTGGAAGTAAAAATTTGCGAAATGAACATTATTTCTGCGTTAACCTAACACCTTCTCAAATTCTCGCTAGGGAGCCTCCCAGCACCTCCTGGGTTCGTCACTGCTGCTACCATCAAGTCTCTATGCAGGCACAACGCATCATCAATACATCCTTTAAGGATGTCAAAAATACCAGATTAGTGCAAAAGTTTTGTCGCACTATTCGTAGAAGTTCGTAGCCTGTTGCTGTTTCTACGGATTTGCATATATGTAATTTTACTGAGTAGAAAAAAAACATTTTTTCGCAATAGTACCTTGCCGCTTTAATACAGTGGTCCATAGCTATAAAGCCACCCTAAAGAAATCGCTGTTATTTGCCCTCTCTTGGACAATTTGTTTGAAAAACCACTATTCTGTGTAAGCCAACGTCATATCACTGATTAGAATGGCTCTCAATTTCATTGATTTTGGCCGGAAAAAAATTACAGATTTTGTAACCTGTGCGAAAGCTGGTCACAGCTGTAGAGCCACCACCCAATTTCGATCAATACTACGTCCTTCGAACCTAGTATCTCCTGTATATAGACAGCGTCAAAATGTGAGACATCTTTCACACCATTCACTTGCCTTCAAAAAAATATTACCACATTGTTGCTTCAAAACGCAAAAATCACATTGTTTGAAAAATTTGCTTCTACTCCAAAATTTCAAGCACTTGTTTGACTCAGTTGAATGTCCTAGGATTCGCTGAGCCTTTGCAATAAAAATGGTGAAAGGCGCTTTGGTCAACATTGCGTAGTCATTATTATTAATAAACAAGCTTTCCCCTTCACCTTCGGGTAAGCGAGTTCTTGAGCTAAAGAAGCCGAGTCTGATGCCCAAAAAGCATTATCATGTTCTAAATACGTCGTTTGTGCAACGATAGACTCGTACACATAGCCTGAAAACCATCGCAACCCTGAAGACTTTGGTTCCGTCTTGGACGCCCTATTTTTAGAAATGGGTTGTGCACTTTGCATAATTATAAGCCACCCACTCTGACCACTTCGGGCAGAAATCGCTCAAAACTTTGTTGTAGTATTTTTGACGTTTCGTAAGATTCTACTTGATAAGGAGTTGATAGGAGCAAAATTTGGAGTCATGGTAGATTTACTGCGCACCACTAAATTTGAATGGTTTTCATTTCAATGTTGCAATTACGTCTTTGCAAAAATTCTGGCAACTTCTGCATAAGTACATGAACCATGCAAACAAAGTGTCAACTTCCGACCAGAAGCTTTCGCGCGTCGCAAAGTGGATTTTGCGTTTTAGAGGTGCGCTCATACACCTAGGTAAGATTGAGCTTCGTTCATCAATACCAGCGACTACGCAATGTTGGCCAAAGCGCTTCCCACCATATTCATTAAAAAAACTCAGCGAATCCTAGGATCTTCACTCGTGCTAAACAAGTGCTTGAAAATTAGCTAAAAAGGCAATTTTTTGAAACTATGCAACTTTTTTTGCTTTTCGAAATAAAATTGTAGTATAAATTTTCTTTTAAAAGCGAAGCTCCCAAGCGTGAAAGATGTTTCACATTTTGATGCTGTCTATGTACATAAAATTTTAGGTTGAGAGAATGTAGTATTGATCGAAATTGGGAGATGGCTCCTCTATAGCCGTGAACAGCCTTCGGAACAGGTTTTCTCAAAATTTTCCCAAAATTGTTCCCCCGCCAAAAGGCATGCAATTGGGAGCCATTTTAGTCTGTAATATGACGTTGGCTTACGCGAACTTCGAGACAATTTTGTCCAAAAGAGGGGAAATTATAGCGATTGTTTAGAGCGGCTTTATAGTTATGGTCGCACTGTATAAGAACAAGCCTTTGAAATATTAGGTTGTAACAGAATTAGTACAGATTTTTCACATCTCTTTTCAAAGTGTTGGTTTAAAACAAAATTGCATCGTTTTAGGAAACTATGCATATCTTTTGAATGCACTTTTCTTCTAGTTTCTTAGGCATGCTTTCGTTTCAGGAGAACTGTGTTTATTTCGAAATTAAGCGCTTTTGAAAACAAGAAACTAAACCTTAAAATTTTTCTCTTTACACTCTTTGCTTTGAATCTACCGCGAAAAGTCGGAATTTTTTGCAAACTGGCCTAATGTTTCTATGTGATCTGTGCTACAAAATGCACACTGAAACAAATTTCTCGAAAGTTTCCAGACTGAGAAATTTTCTTTCAAACCCAAACAACCGCTGCTATCATTCTGCGGCGTATAAAAATCCTAAATGCGAAGCAATTGCGGAGCTTTTGCGGTGAGCAGAAAGAATAGACATAGGACACATGATAGCAGAAAACCGAGAGCTGTTCTTTTCTTTGGCGGCGAGAAAATTCAAAAAACAGCAAAAAAGCATTTTTTTGTCTTTTAAGAGCATTTGTGAACTTGAGTGATTACAAATTTTTTGCAATATCTTCTAGCAAAATTTTTTTTTGTAGAAATCAACTTTAACACTGCTGCACAACCGACTATTATCTGCAAAGTGAATGAAGTTTGCACCATTCTACTACATTGTATAGTGAGTTATGGTCTCTCAAATTGAAGGTTTTTCTAAGAAACCTTTGGCAGTCTTCGGGCTGTGAAAATTTTCTCAGTAAAGCTACAACGATAAGATAGTGCTTGTCGCATTGCCAAAGCCTTGCTGATTGCAGTAGTTTTTGTTGGAAACGGACTGACCATTTCTGTAAAAAGTTATAGTAATCCAACAAAATTCGGAAAACCTGCATTAATTCTGTTACAACCTAATAGAAGCCGGCGAATAAAATTATTTTAACATCGGTTATTTTGAGGTGCCCCATAAGTTTGTCCATTTTCGCTTCCATTTCGATAGCTATCATATCTCTCGATTAACTTTGGGATTCTTATTGATAGAGCAAATTAAGCTCTACAAACTGCCCTCAAACAGCACAGGTTTTTTTATATCAAGTTGACACGTTGATGACAACACGCATTTTGGTATTGTTCCGTTATCCGGACCCATTTTCAGGGCTCGGCATGAGGTGGCTTTTTCAATTTTTCAAAAAAGAAGTCCCCGCAGACTTCGACACAAGAATACGACATCACCTATGAATCGATCATGAATGGATAAAAACAACGAGAAATAATGGAAGAAAACGTAAAGAAAACATTGAAACACGGAAAGGAACTGAAAATGTCCGTATCCTCTAAATTGGCGGCATGCTGCATTCGGCGCGCACCCTTGCGCGCTTGGAGCAGGTTTGCCGCCGCCATACGAAGTATTTGGAGGGCTGTAACTAAACGAAGAAAGGAGGGGTTCAGGGAGATTTAAAAGCTCAGTTGTAGGGTTCTTGATGTAGAATGAAGTTATGTCGAACATGTGAAAAAATTATGTGAAGGAAGGGAAATTTATGATTTTTTTTACCAGCCACCTCAGGTAGCTGTCCAGGAGGCTGGAAAGCCATAACTCCAAAAAAAGGTTGCCACGCCTTCAGTTCACATAATTTTCTCATAATTTCTCGCGCATAGTCCTTACTCTCTATTGCCCTACACACCAATTTTGGTGTCATTTCATCTTCGCTTCGCTGTAAACAAATCTTTTGTTTACTTCGGGGCAAGTTTAAAGCCGCGCGCTTACCCGGCGAACCTAATGAAACGGGAAATTTTTGGTTTTGTAGAAAAGGGGTCAATAAGGCAGGAATGACAATTTGCGTCTTCTGTCGAAGATTAAAAGCGATATAAAGGAAGAAGGCGATTGTGTGTGTGTAGGGGGTGGGGGGAGGGGGGACTGAAGTTTCCGCTCAAACGATACCCCTTGCTTTTTATTCCAAAACGATATTTAGCAGGATTTCCCTTTTTTCCTTGCACCAAATTGAGTCTTAACTTCACAGGAAGGTGTGTCAACCTCCTGCCACGTGTCGAAAAATTGATATCTTATCTACATGTTCTAACAAGTTTTATTAGACATTTAGTTAGCTTACTTGTCAATATATTTCAATCTATCTTCAATCAATAATTGCCGCATTGTTATTCGACATGAAAACATTGTCTTTATAATGATAACATCCCATGTTCAATGAATACTTTACCCAGAACAAAGAGGTGGGCTACCGTTCCATTATCCGAGCGGCGTAAAGCCATCATTTATATGTACTCTTTCTCAGCCAGAAACGATTCAAAAGGGGTAATAATTTTGGAGCATTGCTGAAGACAAATGGTAAACTTTTTGGAGTGTTTTGCTCTCATGAAAAGCCGCTGAACAGCTTGAGTAATTTCAGTTGCTATCACCTATGACTTTGAAAAACATGTCGAAATTGAGCTTGAAGGAGTTATATCCTAACACGTGGTAGGGTGAGTCCTCAGGATCTACGAAAAAAGATTTTCTATACCAATGCACTTAATTCATGGGCACATTTCAGAAAATGGGTCCGGATAAGAAAAAGTACTGCATTTTTACTTCTGCTTTGTGAAATAACGCCTTCCACGAAAATGTGGAAATTTCTAGCTAAAATCAAAATGTCATCTATACTTAGCCACAAAATCTAAAAAGTAGCCAAGAAACGTCAAAGTATCCTCTAGGATCAGAGCGTAAAAGACCTTATGAAACGAATGTTCCCAATGGTTGTAATCATTTTAACAAAATTTAAGCCGTGATCTACCATGTGAGTCATATTGTTTCACACGGATGACCCACCATGTGGGTCACATTGTCATCAATGTGTTAAAAATCGAAATCCAAAACTTTCGACAGCCCAAAGTTCGTAAAAAGATCAGAACTCTGCTTAGAAAACTTCTGGAGGGCTCTAACTTGTTCAAGCATTTACATCTATCATCTAACATTTTATGCGTACTTGATGTATTTTTTCATTACTAGAAATCGGGGAAACGAATGTGGCATTTATAATAAATTTTCAGAGGAATGCTGAGCTGCTTCCACATAGGTGGGTGGTTCTAAAGTGCGGTTCATAATCATACGAACACCCAAAATTTTGTAAGTTTTCGGACTTTTTGGGATAAACTCAAAAAGCCGTTGGTATCACGCGAAAGAGCACAACCGAAAGCGGTATATGACCCTTAAGAATGGAAATTGATGTCAATCTTAGGAGTGTTTTTGCGCCTAATGCGAATTTTTAGCGGTTCATAATTATACAAACACCTCAAACAAAGGTCCATTTTTCATTCAGGATTGCAATCATTTGAGTCCAAATTTTTTGTAGAGTTACAGTAATAAAGTCTGAAACACCTGCTACACACTGAACCCAGTGAAGTTTAAAAAAAAGGACCGTTATTTTTTTCAGAAGGCTCTAAATGCTTTTGGAGTGATTGCGCTCCAAAAACATCCGTTCTTCTGCGGTTTACGCGCTCTAATTAGCTTCTACCAAAGCTATGAGATAAAATAAGCCTCCTTTGATAGGTATTTTGTTTGGCGCTCCGAAAATCTTTGCATTTTTGTGCCGTTTTTCAATCAAGTTCCGTCGTAACCCTAAAGTTAGCACGATTTCGAGCCTCAAAACTCGCTTCTAAAGCCGTACAATGAAGTAAGCATATAGTATGTAGAAGTTCACAAGACTGTATGTTTGGCTAGAAAAAATCAGCAGCGTTGAGCGTTTGTTTTAACCACGCAGACGTCATTTCACCAAAAACACTGTTTTTACTATTGCAATCACACCTCTATTTGGTTTGCAGCTCCGCAGCCTCAAGATCAGTCCTACAAAAAACCCAAAAACTTTGGCACAGAAACATCATCATGCAAGCAATGCAGCTGCTTCATATCAAATGTTTGCGCAAGACAGAAGCTGAGTTTTGAGGCTCGAAATCGTGCTGACTCTCTAAGGTTGGAACTTGATTGAAAAACGGCACAAAAATGCAAAGATTTTCGGAGCGCCAAACAAAATACCTATCAAAGGAGGCTTATTTTATCTCATAGCTTTGTTAGAAGCTAATTAGAGCGCGTAAACCACAGAAGAACGGATGTTTTTGGAGCGCAATCACTCCAAAAGCATTTAGAGCCTTCTGAAAAAAATAATGGTCCTTTTTTTTAAACTTCACTGGATTCAGTGTGTAGCAGGTGTTTCAGAGTTATTGCTGTAACTCTACAAAAAATTTGGACTCAAATGACTGCACCGCGGATGAGAAATGGACCTTTGTTTGAGGTGTTCGTATAATTATGAACCGCTAAGAATTCGCATTAGGCGCAAAAACACTCCTAAGATTGACATCAATTTCCATTCTTAAGGGTCATATACCGTTTTCGGTTGTGCTCTTTCGCGTGATACCAACGGCTTTTTGAGTTTATCCCAAAAAGTCCGAAAACTTACAAAATTTTGGGTGTTCGTATGATTATGAACCGCACTTTATAACATAAACCTTCAGAAGTATAAGCACAGTTTCTCAATTTTTAGCGTTAGTAAAATGCAGCAAATGTGCTCGAAAACAATACATGAAGAATGTATATGCCCGGACAAGTTAGGGTTTTCTAGAAATTTTTCAAGCAGTGTACGATACGACTTTTTTTTGTTTGTATATTGATACAAGACTAATTTCGTGCAAATGTTCGGGAGCCACTTAGTAGAGCTTGCTTTGCTCTATCGAAAGTAACTAAGTGAAAACGAACAGAATGTGAGACAACCCAATACGAAAATCACGTGAAACATGTAGAAAAATTCGGAGCGAGATTTAATATAAGTTTCATGATCCATCCTTCTCAACCGCGGCTAAGTTTGTTCTAATTGTTATGATTGATGACGCATGTCCGTTGTTTTGCTGCAATTTTTAATGCTAAATTGAAATATAAAAATTGGCAAAAAACGAAAGCAAGCTTTTCAAGGTTTTTACGCTAATTTGATATTCTTAGAAAACAATTGCTTGCAGGAGGCTTATGATATGATTGTAACTCTGCATCTTGCTGAAACATGCCAACTTTTGTTTTCTCAATTTCTAAGCGTAGGAAAAATACAGCACTCTGCACGTGGATCTGTTGTACATATGCATGACCATGGTGAAGGTTTGCAGGAGCGCTTTGGACAAAAATATGATTTTCTTTTTTGAATTTTCACAATTTACTTTCGAACTTTACAAAAACTTTTTGCGTCTGTGTAAATACAATCTTACAGAGGTTGCTTTTCTCTATCGAATGACAGATTTCTGATCTTAGAGTTTACTCTGCCCAAATCCCGTAAAGAATGACCAACAATTTCCGGATAACCTATCACATAGAGTGTCTTTTGAGTGTTTTGCTACTTTGTTTCGCCAGCAATAGAGATTTACGGTGAAGATGAATTTGAATGATTTAGGTTGTGAAAAGGAAATCAGTGAAAAATAAGCTTCGGTATGCTGTTTTAGTGCATTTATTCAAACAAAACGTTTCAAATTTTGAACATTATTGCGCTTGTGCAAAGAAAGATTTGAGAGACCGTTCATAGTTATTCCTCTTCCGCCACCAAAGCGACAATGTGCATACTGACGTAAGTAAAGCATGTCAAAATGAGCAACCTCACAACACTACCAACAGCGGTTATTATGCCTTTTCACAAATCGCAAAATAATTTTTTCATAAGCACGGGAGATTTGGCACAAGACCGCTGCAAGTGACCCGGTAAGTGTACGAACAAACTCTCAGCACTATCGTCTACCATAGGTAAAGGCGCTGCCAAGCACAATGGTGAGGCTCATAATGAGCATGGCAGAAATCCAAGTAAACCAAGTTCAAACGAATTTTGAGGTCTGAAGATGTTGAGCTAACCAAGTGAAATTGTTTTTTTTAGACATGATTAACTTTTTTGAAGGTGAGACTACTACATAATACAAAGTTCTTTGCTCAAATTAGGAATCCCACTTCAGAAAAAAAGCAAAAAACGGAATTACGTGCAAGCCAGATCCACAAGATAAGACTCTCTAAGACTATTCTACTAGCAAGACTTTCCTAAGACATTTTTAATGTCAGAGTTACCTTGAGAGGCTAATTTAAAGAATCTACCTAGACTTTAAGGTAGATTTTAGCCTCAAGACAAATACCTATGTTTGCTCTTTAGTGTCAACTTCCGAAATGTAAGCAAAAATAACAAGATAAAGTTTCTTTTGAGTGAGCAAAAAGCACACTCGGCATCTTATTAGCTAGACAAAGCTTGCGTTGGTCGCGTGATCTTGAGAAAATTTTATGCAAGAAATCTTAACGATTTCTGCTATAATGCAATGAGGCACCCACCATTAATGGTTGCCCTTCGCACAAAAACAATTTATTCTGCATAAACTTGTGATGCCTACGAGATTATATCGAACGTCTATTTGCACATGCTTTGCTATTTCTAAAATGGAATAAATACTGCTATTTGCTCTATTTATGCACATAATAAAAATCCAAGGGGTTTTGATTTTTTGATTTACAACAGCACATGCTAAGACTCTGTACGGTCTTTTGTATGCGCGCAACAACATATATTAGGCTGATTCGTAATTGAAGCACATTTCTTGCATTGACATCAAATAGTTCTTTCAAAAAAAAATCTTGCATGAAAACTGCGAAGTTAAGCTTGTTTTTGCCCGTTTGGCTCACCTTTGGGTATGGGCCATATGAAGTGACCTTGTTGCATTTCTTGATGAGCTTGAGCCAAACATGATTCTGTAAGGCCAAGTTTGCCCTTTACATAACAATTTCTTAACAAAATGGCCTTTGATGGCTTATGATTCCATTCACAAAGTGTTCAGCAGATAAGGAAGACAGTGATGTTTCCTTCCATCCCTCTGAAGTTTACACTATTTTGAAAATTCTCAGACCGTTTATAAGTGAATATGATGGAATACCGCAAGTCATCTATAAAAAAAGTACATCTGCTCTGGCTGCACCGCCTATCCATGTATTCAATATATCGATGCTCTGACAGGAAGGATACTTGGTCGAAAAGACGTTTCTATATAAAACGTTCACAGCCTTATAGTGCAGGTAATGCTGCCTCCATGGCTTTCGGTAACTGCAAAGCGCTTCGGGAGGGGTTTATGGGAATTCTTGGTAAAATTTGCGCGAAATAGCATGCCTGTGGCGCCTTCCAATTGCGCGCGCAGAATACCAGCATTACTAGCATGGCTGTGTTTGCGCGAAGTTTTACCGCATTTCACCTAGATAATACAGTGCAAGCACACTATATTAATCAGGAAATCTACTCGACTGTAGATAGGGCTTACTATCCTCAGTTAAAGGCTCTTGAAAAGTTCTTTCGGGTGTCTCATCGAATGCCGACGATGCATAATTTTACTGAGCAAAAACGGCTGTAGGAAAAAAACCCCGTTCAGTAGCAATGTTGCGAAGTGCTAAGGAGATCAAAAAGCTATTATCGTGCATCCATATGATTTGTTAACGATTCCACTGGAAGGAGATTGCGACCCATTTACACTTCCCAACTTCTTGCGTTTCGCAAAATAGACACGTTTGCGCGCAAAGGATTCAAGCTTCATGACATTTTGCTCGGGAGACCATTTTAAGATCCCAATGAAGTTCTAAAAACGCTTTAGTCATTTGTATGTATCATTCATGATTAACGAGTTCATGACTGATTTACTATTATGAATTCGTAGAAAAACATGTTTGAACTCGTTGTAAACGCAAGTTTGAACATGTTCTTCCATAAATTCCTAGTAGTAATCTACCAAAACCATTAAACGCACTCATTTAGACTTGTTGATAAACATACGCGAAGCGTGCCGATGTCTCTTAGCAGAGAATGAATGATGGATACGTGTCGTGCATCCCCCATATTTCCCCACATGAACCATCAACGTGACTGCCTTTCGATCGTCTTAACACGTTAACTTTAGCAATTTTGAGGCGCGTATTCGAAGTTGACATGTTAAAATGATTGGAAAGCCGCGTTGATGATATGGGAACAATTCTGGGAAATGCACCATACCTACTTGATACTGCGCGCCATGCAGTTCATTTTCCAGTATGCTCGCAAAAGCTTCGCGGGCTGCCTGCAATCGATGCGCTCCATCGGCAGATGCCAAACGCGCGAAAACAGATGTTTCGAACAGCGGTGTTATCTGCCGCTTCTTAATGTTCACATGAAAAAACTCTAATCGCTGGCTCTTCGTCTTTGAGGCATCTCTTGTCAAAGCATTCGTATCTAGTTGCATTCGTGCAGAAGTAACACTTTAGTTTAGGCTTCCTTACTTGTACAGCTGCATGACATACGGCAGTGTTGAGGCAGCGATGTCGTCGTCGGCTCCCGAAGGTATCCTTTCTTTAACAATAATTACAAATTGTGCGCCTATTTATCGCCACACATAAGGGATGCCTTCGAAGCATGCACGCTCTCCTCGAAGGACTGCATTTTCGGAAGTGGGCTTTTACCATTATTCTGCGCTAACTCCCGAGTCTAGTCAACAGGCAGCCGGTTAGTTCCGTACTTGCTTTTTACCATTGTGTTGTATGTATAACTCAAGAATGGGTACGCATTTCTGGATGCAAAAACTAGGTGGCAAGAGATGATCCAACTTTGAATTTGAATTTGTAAATTTTGAATTTAAAAGGGTCCACTTCTTTCCCCTCAACATTGAATGTTGACATTCAACTTAGAGATTCTATTTTGTAGACAAGAATAGGAAGCTCTCGAGAAAAGATGCAAGTAGTAATTGTTCCAACTTTCCTTTTAGTCGTAGACGGGAAGAGAATATATTGGCTCTATCGAGTTTACGACTAGAGGAAATTGGATTTATTACTACTTGCTTCCTCTCAAAACCTTCCTATTCTTGTCTCCAAAATATTAGAATTTCTAAATTGCATGTTGACATCTAGTGTTGAAGGGAAAGAAGTAATGATGACGTGTACTTAAGCTTATGGAAGTAGTGGAAATTTTCATGGAGTCTAGGTGTCAGCTAATTCAGCTCTTTTGAGTCTCCTAGAGGGAGATTTCTGTAGATCAGCTCGCTTGTCGAAATCACGCATGAATTTGGAATATTACAGTCCAAAAAAGAAAGAAATGGCTTGTGCACGTATTTTGGAACCTCTTGTACCCTCTTTCTAGTTCAGGATTAGTCAAATCTCATTTTTTAACGTACTTGTTTTTGATTGCTGCCATAAGACTTCGCATCTTCTTTACCCCCAACCATTTCGTATAAGGGCTTGTGAGCTCTTCTTTGTAGGACTCTCAGAGTTCGTAATTAGGGAACAAACTTGCTTTTCGTCACCATTGTTTCCGTGGTGTTCTGGAAAGTTTTTGGTATCATGGCGGTATCATCTTACACTTATACATGCATAGAAGAGAGCGTCATTGATGAAAATGGCTTCACTTTACTGAATGAACGGAAACGCCATCGTGACAGCACCGAAGCAATGGACATGGATGAATCTGGCATGAACAAGTTAGTTTCTAATTTCATAAGTGGTCCTAATATTCATTTTTTGCAACAACTTCACGGATTATTTCATTCACTACTTCATTTCTAGGATCAGGATGAAGCCTGATATCCTTACATTTTATCGTACCCCTGGAGCATTCAAGTTTTGTCGGCGCATCAGCAATGGCCCATTTATTGGTAGGTTTTCTGCTCATTTATGACATTGTGTTGATGTGCTACATTCTTCATTAATCACCAAATTCCCCTAGGTGCAGTTCTCTTTTAGATTATTTCCGTGCTAGCAACAGAGGTTCCCCCCTTCCGGAAAATGTTATCGTAGAAATTCTTTCTTACCTGAATAAGAGGGACCTGTGCAACGCTATGGCAACATGTAGGCTTTTGTACTCAGCAGGGTGAGTTCATGCTTTCTGCTGGTTTTTTCCTCTATGGATCTTTGTCAGTCACTTTACTTCTTGCCGAATCGAATGATAATACTACTGGTGAATTTGTATTCCTTTGTGAATAATCTTCTTCTTGCATTAGTGTGTGATGAGTAGCCGTAACTCCAAATGGACTAGGTTTGGAGGACACACACGAAATTGAAAATTGTGTCTGGAACGTAGAAAACAGTGAAATCAAGAGTAGTTGTTGCAATTTTCATGATTCTACACATTTCCAGAGCAAGATGTCGTACATGGGAACAAGTAGATCTGTTTAACCGCACTGTGTTCAACCATTCGTTGATTTGCTTCCTCAACAGGCGATTAAAAGTCATGCGTATGGCAGATACCAATGTTTGTCTTAGACTATTAATTTCTTGATTTATATCATTGTTACAACTCATCTGGTTTAAGGTTGAAAATTGGCCATATCACTCGACCACGCCTGCAATATCATTAGAGTACCCGTTGATGCTGACTCATTTGGATCTTAGTCGAGCAGTTTTCGCAGATCGTAGTCTGTTGGTGAAGATTATGAAAGGATGTACTCGTCTCCAAGTGAGTTTCGTTCATGCTTTCTACTTTCTTCGTCCTTTTCACCTTCCTTTTGTTTTACATTGCAATGTAAACTTCAAAGTTAGTGAAGAAGAAGAGGGTCAGTCCAAGGTTCAGGTGCAAGCTCTTCATTAGGTACTTAAAATGATGATAATAATTCAATCGTTATTATTGACCAATAGATACTATGAGGTGCTATAGCTTCAATTTATTTTTACTAATAGATACTATCAGCACCAGCGCATTTTTACCTTGCCGTTCAGCATTCTTTTATTGGAAAATCCATAATGCATTTGAATTTTCAAAGTTACATCAATGCTTTTGTTTAAGTAGATTTACTGTCGAAGTTCTTTTGTATAATGTTCGAATCTTCTCAATGTAAGTGACGTTATTAGCAAAACAGCTGCGTTTGAACCTTCATTTCATGTCGCCTTACACAGATCTGCAATAACTGACAGCCAAACCTTTGTATTCTGGAACGTGCTAAATATTAGGGTGAACGGTAAAAAATGTGACACTTACGAAATAACTGGAGGTTCCTCAAGAATGAGAAGCGATTAGACTTTCCAGTTGTGAAAGATGTTAGAATATGTTATTCTCTTTTCAGATGATACCTATATAAGGTCATTTACATAATTAAGAATTTTTATACTTGCTGAAATGCAAAGTTACTCACTTCGATAAATTGTGAAGTTTGAGCAGTATATGCGCAGTGAAACATGTGAGACCACCCAAAGTACCATTGCTGGAGTGGGTGGTGGGACAGTCACTAAACCCACGACGGCTTGGTGACCTCAACTTTTAAAGTCAGGAGATATGGCCATTAGCCGCTTTGAGGACAAAGACACGCGCTATTCAATTCTTTGCAAGTGAACCATGTTTTCTAGGTACCATCTGATAGAGCTTTTTACGCTCTATCCATCCATATGCAGCTTGCCTCAGAATGTATCTATCTTTGGAAAGTATAGGGCAAAACATGATTTTTTGGTATTTTATTGCGCCAAAAATAGCTGCTTTTCAAGTTTTTTCGCTTTTTTTTTCTGGAATTGAAAAGAAATCTCGTGCAAAATATTGTTTGAAAGAGCATGAAGAGCTCTTTCGAATGGTATGTCATTTGCTTTATGACTTTACGGTATAGCAGCGCAAGATTGAGAATTGCTTTAAAACCCTGACTGAGTTCTTCACGGCGCCACGCGTACGGTTATGAGAGAGGAGCGGTAACGCGTTGCCAGAATAACAGGCGAAGGTCGTTTATGTAAGCGACGTTTGAGTTGTAGCCTACTTGTTGTTGGTGAGAACAAAAAACCTCAAAATGTAAAAAAAATCAAGCTGTCCCATTTTTTACCGTTCACCCTAATAATAGATAGATTTACAAGACTATGCTGCCATGATGCAACAAAGTTCAGTTCAGCGCTTTACTAGATTCAGTTCCAGTTTTAAGTTGCAGAGAACTTTTTAGGCGTTATCTATGGAGGGTCAAGACTTAGGAGCAGACGCTGCTGATATTTGTGCTTCTATCGGGAACAATCGTGCTCTGTCTCGCCTCGATCTATCCATGACAGTTGGCATTGATGCAAATGGTGCACAACAAATATGTTCAGGATGCATAGCGTGAGTGTTGAATCAAAGAAAATCTACAATTTTCAAATCGCTAGAGCAAGTTAAGGGATTCAACAGTTGTAGTTTATGTGTTTGGCACATGCCATGGTTCAGTTCGTATTATATTATTAGTAGCTTTTAGAATACAACATCTAAACTTGTCTTGGAGTGGTTTGGATCAGGAAACGGTGCTAATTTTTTGTTCAAATCTTCCCGATACGGTGACAAGACTGAATATGGCTGGATCTTTGAATAAGTCCTCACTAGACGATGAAGGTCAGTTTTTTCAAACTTTTCCAAATTCGGGTTTTTCATTAAGACCAATTTACGTTAGCCAAATGGCTAAAGTTAGCAATTCCTGCAATTTGGGTTCATTTGTTTTTAGCAGTTGAATATCTCGTAACGTGCTGTCCGAATCTGAAAGAGCTCGATTTGTCCGATAATGTGAACGTCACTGAGCAAGGACTGCAGTTTCTTATGTCTCTTCAGCAGCTCGAATCACTATCCTTGAACAGGTGTTATGGCATACAACCCATGAATTTCTTGTAAGGACATCTCTTGCCATTTCCTATGCTTTTATGGTTTTGAAGTATTTGTGATTCACATTGCAGAATGTGCGGGCATCTCCATGCTCTCAATGTCTTCGGATGTATAACAGATTCGGGGTTAGCTGCTTTGAAGAACGGTCTCAGTGAGACAGAGGTAAGCGTATTTGTATCAATTTGCTTCTCTGTCTTGTTTTTAGTCTTTGTTACAAGTAGTATCATGTAGTCTACGTCATTTTTTCGTAAGTGTAAGCTGTTGAGACCGGAAAATGCTACTTAATGCAAAGATTTCCATTAAAGATTCCTGTTATCACATAGAACTCTTTCATGCATAGAGTTGCAAACGTACCTGATTGTTACTTGCATCTCTGGAACCATTGCTGCTTCTCTGAACAAAGACAAATTTAGTGCAATCATTCCCTTAACATACATTCTGCGCTGCATCTTTTTTCAAAATTTCAATGCGCCTGAAAGCGCTCTCTGAATAATCATGGAGCTGTTAGTAGCAAACACCAAGTATCAACATAGTATAGTTGGTGAACACATAAAAATCTAACGTCCACCAGTCGCTAGCATTTGGAAGCTGCCAACACAGCCAGCAACAAGTACAGACTCCCTGCAGCAAAAGGTACCTTTGGGTCCTGCACATCCGGATTCCATTTGTATAGTTCCTTGAGAGGTAACAAAGTGTCGTTTCTCTGAAGATAGATAGTATGAGTATTTTGTAGGCCACGGAAAGTTCCTTATACACTTTCCTGCAAGCATTAGAGATCAGCGCGAAAGTCAACGACTCAAGTCAAAAATGTGAACACTGAATGTGAACACTTGTGTAATAGGGTTTTTATGGACGCTGAGTTCAACACTTAACTATTCACAAGATTGCGAAGCTTTCTAAACGGTGTAACCGTACTTTTTAGGAACATTGAAAAAATGGGCGCTACCTCTTACCCTGTATAATCTTCAATTGAGCATCATAATAAGTTGGGAACTTTACAGCTGGAATCAACAGCTCTAATTAGTCTAGTGTAGAAGCTTTCAAGCTGTTGTTTTCTTTATGAGACAAAATATGGCCTTTCATGGCTTAAAACCCTCTATCAAGTTCCTACCGTAATCCTACAGCAATGAAGAGAGATGGGTGATTCGTCTCATACTGCAAATCTAAGTTGAAGCCAGCTCTACAAAACGGTACCTGAGATATTAACGACCAAACAGTTTATACATACTTTACGGACGCCCTGCCCTGTATATAGTTTCACTTTTTCACGTTTTTTCACGGTTTGTAAATTTAGGTTAATGGAGCTGTTTTCAATTACATTGCGAAACCAACAGTACCACCAGCAGTGACAAGCATATGGGGTCAGCGCACTAAGGATTGGTACTGATGTGATATATATAACGCTTTATCATCCTCACTATTTCGATTCATTTCATTTACATGTCAATCTGTGATATCTAAGAGTGCGATCGTTTTTATTCGACGCGTGCTTCTGGCACGGTTCTTGCACATTTCAGACTTTTCATGTTACACTACCCTCTATCTTCAACTCACGCTGCCCATAGCTGACCTGTAGTATAGCACGAAATTCGTAGTGGACATGGCTGCTTTGTTCACGAAATAAAATTTAGGAACGCACAAGAATACAGTAGAGATAAGGGGTTCCTGATTTTGTGATGGCTGTACCCAACACTACATTGCTAACTTTGCGGATAGTCCGCTATCAAATCGTTGTGCCCCTCCTATATGAAATTCCAACTTAGTTCGGCTACTAATGTCCGTACAATGTTTGAGCACTTTCTCAAGGTTTTCAGCGTCGTACTCTTGATCTCAACGCATATTTCTCCTTGCATTCACAATTACAACTATGTTGATCTCTTTCCTCGAATTTGAATTGCATGCCGGTTTTTCTTTGCCCAGGAGTTTTCCGCTCAATTATGCGATTCATATGTTACTGTACTGAAATAAATGTTATCTTGTACATTAAGCATGCTCCAACTTCGTGTCTCAGTTGTTTCTTATAAATGCTTTTAGAGTATTAAACCACTGACCATCAAAGGAAACTTGTGTCCTTTTGCCTATTTGTCTATATCATAGCATGGCACTTTCACTAGTAACAACTGCTCGCTTTATTTTCAAGGTGCCTCTTCGTTCGCTAGGGAGGATTTTTTCTGGGTGTATGTCAAGAGGCGCGATTTTTATTGCTAGATGGACACCAAATAGCACATAATAAGTGTTTTATAACATTCTAAAAGTATTTAAGTTCTAGAAGAAGATATATTAGGTAGTTGCATGGGCTGCTCAATCTTGCTACCTTGAAATGAATTCAAAACAACAATTTTGAACGTCAAAAAACATGAAAATGCAATTAAGAACAGATTCGTAGATATCTCGGTCCGTTTTTTAGCAAAAGCCACCAAACTCATCAAATGGTAACCATATACAGACAGTAAACCAAGCACTTTATCTGGTACGCTGAAGACGTGCATGGCACTTAGCTACTGAGTTAGTGGCAGCCGGAGAAACATTTTTTCTTTAGGGGGGGGGGAAGGTGGAAAATGACAGTGATTTTAAATGTAAGTGGTGTGTAAAAATTGAGTCGTCCCAAATAAGTTTTCAATTCAGATCTGATCTTTTACCGCAATAACTCACATTCTTTTTCTGATAGATTTTTAAGTCGTTCGATAAACAGAGCAGACTGTGAATATAGCATTCAAACAATTACATAAGTTCGGTTCACATGAAATTTGAAGACAAAAATTAGGTGCAAAGCCGAAAAAATCGAAAAACTGTATCTCAATTTGAAAAAATTCTATGAACCTTGAATTTGTCCGTGCATTTAACTGAAAGTTTTATGCGGATTTCTAGTTTGTTTTCGCATTTATCTAATCTTAATGTTAAACAATCATCTGTACGCTTGCTGTGATTTTCACTTGATGAAAAGGAGAGGAAATTAGTGTATTTTCGGGGAGGTTAGATCTCAAATAGATCATTCTGTACTACAGACCTTTGAGGCTGATTAGACAATTTCAGCCACTTTGGCTTCAAATTTGACGTGAATTGAACTTTGTGCGAGTACTTGAATGCCATCTCATAGGGTTTGCTTTGCTCTGTCGAATATTAGCTGATGTGAGAGTTGAATTAAAAAATAAAGATCAGCAGATTTTCGTCAAAAAGGAGAGAAAATCAGAAAATCAAGAGGCAGTCCAAGACAGGACACGACACAGGTGGTTTATAAGCAAGCTGAATATTGTTCTTGGGGCAAAAAGTAGAGGGAAGGTCGTTGTGGCCGAAAAAACACAACCTAGATTACGTTTTTTTATTCGACGTATCGTTTTTAGGGATTTCTACGTTTTTGATTTAGAGTCAAAGGAAACTTCGCACAATTTTGAGAAAGTCAAGGGTACTTCGTTTTTTTGCATTTTCAATCCTGGTCTAGGAGATAAAATTGACTCTTGACAAGCACGGAATAATCTGGAAAGTTATCCAGCAAGTGATCTGAAACATTGTGTGTTCAAGATGTGAAGACTATATTTTTGGTAAGATCAACGAAAAGGGGGGTATGTGTGAAAAAATTTGAGAAATAGAGCAGTCTGATTCTAGATATTTGGTGTTTAAAAATCCCATAGAGAAACCTAGAACGGATTAGGGTCTGTACCGATCTTTTGCGACTCCATTTCACCAGGTATTTTTTGAGGGATTTTCTTCTGTCACCTTCTGAACAAGAAAGATGAATCATTTCTTTGTTAACCTTGTTCAATCATTTTTTTGTTCAATTGCAAAGCTTTATTTATTGACTGATATACAATATTAACACGTAATTTTTTTTCGTGACACAATCAACAACGAGACTAGCATATAGAGTTAAATGTAGAGACAATATGCTTAGGTTATTACATTACGACTCGGAATTTATGGCTATGGCAAGAACAGTTACATACAAAAAAGAGATATAAAATTTAGTTGAGGCAATATCGCTTACTTCTCTTCATCATCAACAACATCTTTGCATTGTGTGGACAAAAATTCTCGAACTCCTTTGGAAAGACCACCATTGGATGCAGGATCCTGAAATGCAGTGGTTGTTGCACATTTGCTCGGATTTTCGCTTAGATTTAGCCAAATCGCAAAGTGATGAGAACTTAGAATTCACGTATCTATAATAAAAATAGAGGCTTGAAGGCTGTACCTTATACATAGGGTTTACTTTTGTAGGAATAGTTTCTCCAACCTTTCGCCGAAAATTTGTATGCAAACTTACGACCTTAGCAAAAATTTCTAGGTGATTTTTGCCTTTCCAAATGAGCCCACATCGGAATTCTGGATCGTTTTTCGTGAGAAATTTGTGGATTTTTCCGAGGCAGTCGTGTACTGAAATGATCATGGTACAGTATTCCTTTAGTGTTGGGACTAACAAACCTCTGCTTAGTGTAACATATGGGAGCGGTTTCATCATTTTAGAAATATCTTGCTGTGTGTAGATTGAGGGTTTGCCGAAGTCGCCATTTCCTTTGAACCAACCAACAATTTCCTTAATCGGTGTTTTTTTAAATTTTTTCACAGAAAACAAATTTGGAACAAACCTGATTCGCATTAGTAAAGAAGAGCTGTGCCCAAGTGAAAAATGGAAATCCTGCACCTTGAGGATAAGTGGTCAAAAGCTGTAGTGGTACATCTCGGGGCATTTCACCATATTCTATGATCTGAAGAGATTTTTCTTTTTAGGTACTTTGACTGTGAGGCTTATTTGGGTGGTTCGAATAGATCTAGCAATATGAATGGAAATTTGCATTCAATTCGAGTCAAACTATTTGTGGAAAAGCAATAATTAAGAAAAAATCACCTTCCCTGCTCCATTTGAATAATGAAAATTGGTTTTTTTTGGTATTTGTTGCTTACAAGAAGTCATGATCATTTTTAATTTGTTTTACCTCAATATTTGAATTCTCAGGTGTCTTCTTCTTTTCAGGTAGAGCCTCGGAAGCGTCAACGGTAACTCTAAAGCATTGACTTGTGAAGTAATATGACACATTTATTGAACGTATTATATGTATTAATTTTGGGAAGTTTCGCACTAGCTTCTGTTTCGACTTTTGCAGCTTGATCTACCAAAAATCTACAAAAAATGATCTATCCGTTTTTTGGTGCGATACTGCTTGGCATATGTTCTTACTCGCACATTTGATTTCTGACTTGTTTTGCAAGCTATCAAATTTTTTGGAGTAAACCAGGTATGAAGGTTTTTTTAGAATTTCCAAACATATCGCATCAGTAAATGTATAAATGGGAAGCAAATTGACAGCTTCTCATGATACTATTGTGTCTTCATATACATGTATGTATTTAGTGCCAATTATGTGTATTATCAAATTTGACCTCTCGTTCTACCGCAAATTAGTACGAAAGAATTGCTCATTGGAGCAGCTCATAAATAGCTGAATGATAAATGTTGATACAACACATAAATACTAGATTGAATGCTAAGAAATATTTTATACTCACGGTGGACATTTTACAGCAGCGAAGTCAGCGCAGTCCACTTCAAATCTAAAATTTTTGATGTGTGAGCAATGTGACTTTAAGCATTCTCAGACTTACCGAACCATTATACGAAATGAGCCAAACTGGTAAGCCATCAACTGTTCGAAAGGTCCTGTCGCATGTTTTCCTCGTGGCCGTGTCATCTTCTTTTTGAGGTTCTGATCAAAAGTGACGTGACCGATTTCCATGAGATCTGATGCTTCCACTCTGGAATCAGCCATAAGCACATAGAAATATCACTAAATCACTGGGCTTGTTGGGATGGTCTCGAACGTTTGAGTATATGGGAATTCCAAACATAGAAATTGTGATTTCCTTTTCTTTCGCACATGGGACACTTCTAGGAGTTATGAAAGTTTCGGTGACCGAGTGAGATATGTAACTTTGATGGGTTCTAACCTTTGATTCAACTGTCTTGGCAGCTGGAAGGCGGGGCTTTGTGACCTATTAAGGCTCGCGCCGTGATGCAGTCTGCGTCTCTCCCGCGCGAATGCTCTCTGATCATTACCCAGCCTTAAGGACACGAAGCCCGCCTTCCAGCCGCCAAACCAGTTGAATCAGAGGGTACCTTCAGACGCAAAAAGCATGCTAGTTTTAGAAATAACAGTCCCGAGGAAATTTCCTACAAGTGTGTTTTCTCTTAAACTGTAATTCTTTTCATAGTTCAACATTCTCTACGAAAATTTTCTAAAAGACACTGAATGACTCTGAACAATGAAAAAGGGAAGGAAAATTAGATCACAGAAAGTTAACGGTTGTGTCTATATTGATTACTTACCTGGAAAGAATACATGTTTTGCCTACTCGTTCGCAGTCGATCCGAAATAGACCTTCTCCAGCTTCCTGAAATACTCTTTTTGAACCTCTATTTTTTACGTTAAAATTCCTACGTTCTGAAAGACTTGACTAGTGCGTTGCATGATATGTTTTGCTGATTACGCAAATGAACAGGGTGCCCAATAAGGATAATGTTGTCAAGAACACTAAGATGCGATAAGGTAAATTTTGATGCTAGACTATCCACATTTAAAGTACCATTTGCTTTTGTGTTTGCAACCCTGACTTTTTACTTGTTTTTAGCTGCCAAATCACTTCCAAAAAACCGTGAAGCCCTATCTAGCACTGATTTCAAGTCCTATATATCCAGTGTTTCAACTACAGTCGCGCGTTCTATAGCTATTAATAGATAATGACTTGAGAAAGCTTTTGTCTACTAAGTGGTAATGAAAGAAAATGTTGAATAGAAGTCTATGCGCTGTCTGCTTCCGAAACCGTCGTTGAACTGACTCTCTCTCCCTCTCTTGGAACAGTCTTTTGCAACTTTTATCAAGGAAATTTCAGCAACTTTTCTGGAAGCAATTCGAATATCTTTCCAGCAATTTTCCACTTTTTGGGTGATTAAAACAATGACACATGCATCTGTTCGGTAGACAGAGCAAAATGCTATGCAAAAATTCGTCTAGACAGCTGCTACATTTTGAATTTTGCTGTCACTTTCTAGACTCTTTCTTGAGCAAAACAAAAACAGCCTGACTAGCATTTTTGTATGAGCATCATAGCCTTAGCTATTAGCAATCTTTATTCGCTACCGCACTGCCTACATAGCCCACTATTGCTGACCTCGGTCTGTCTCTTCATGATTTTTTTGAAAACATCAAAGATCCAGTGACCCTGTTGGCTTAAGTGCGTGAAATCGAGTGACATATGAAAACATGGAGGGAACATATGTTCAAAGGGCAGCGGGTTAAATTACTTCTTGACAAGTGTTATTTCATCCGTCACCCTAGAAGATCGACGATATTTTCACACGGATTTTTGCAAGCATCGTTTTGAAGTAAATTCGAATATACAGTGTCCCGAAAGGACTCAACCAGCTGACTTTGGATCCGAGTCTTTTCTCTCAACTTGTTTAGAGTCTAAATAAGTACCCTTGTATTCAATTGGCTCAGCGGCTGGAAGGCGGGGCGTTGTGATCTAATTAAGGCTAGGTGAGAGCACGCTCAAGTCAGATTCGCAGAATGTGTCGCGGGCGCGAGCGGCCCTAATTAGGTCACAAAGCCCCGCCTGTCAGGCGTAGAGCCACTTGAAAAAGGTCTATATGTAGCGACTGCTCTACTATACACTGTATATAATAGCGCTCAATTTTTTGCCATCAATGAAGAAGCAGGAAATTGGGTTGCTTCATTATGAACTGTCTACCACTTGAGCAAAATGGATCCATCATGGTGGGGGCTTTGAGCAACTTGTTCCAATCTTTATAGTGTACAATGCCGTTGTTAGTAGTTATACAGTTCCAAATGACCCAACATTATCTACACATAACCCTTGATTCCACTGGCTTGGCGGCTAGAAGGCGGGGCTTTGTGACCTAATTGAGGCCTCTCGTGTCCGCTAAGCAATCTGCGTCTCTCTCGCGCGCGTGCTTTCTGACCTTTATCTAACCTTAATTAGGTCACAAAGCCCCGCCTTCCAGCTGCCAAGCCTGTTGAATCAAAAGGAAATTTGATCATCAGAGGTGAAAACACTTATAATTATTATTATACTAGTTAGCTTACCTGGCTCAGCCCGGCCTTGTCAAAACACTGTACCACCCATCCCTATCCCTGTACAGCCTTTCCCGGTGCACATTTCTGCACTTCATTTCCCGTTCCCTGTGTTGTTTTCAAAATCAGCATGCCCACTTACCCCCTCCCCCCCCTGTGCCAACTCCCAGCCCTTCAGCTCAAATTTTGAAAAAAAAAACGATAAAAGTAATGGTAATACCAAAAACTAATATTGTATTCGTAGTCAGCATGCTCGATTCCCTGTGCCAAATTCTAGCCCCTTAGCTCGAACTTTGCAAAAAAATCGATAAAGATCGATAAAATCGATATCGATCGATGATGAAAAGTAGCCTATGACACCCGCTCCGCCCCGAAGTATATGTGTGCAAAGTTTGGTCCAAATCGGTTCAGAAATAAAAATTTCTATTCGGAACATACGTACATACAAACATACAAACAGACATTCAGCTTTATATATAAGATCAGTTAAAATAGATCGCTGATTGGCTTTGTTCTTATTCAACGATTAAGACGCATTGAGTTTTTAGAAGCTTGAATACATGGTCCGAAAGATGACCTCGAAATATTTATTGTCGCTAAAGTTCAGTACAGACATCCTTGCTCATATACTGAACTAGACAATTGTCTAGTTTAAGAGATTTACCATTTTCAGCTTCGCGTAAGTTTACTTATTTGAAGTTCAAAAGAATTGAGCTATGTGTTAAATTGATAATGGTTTATGAGTTGATCAATCCAAATTTTATCTCCTAATTTTTGACGAAAAATAGAGCAGCTTTACGTTAGCGCACTACTACAAATAAAAACTAAGATTATGTTCAAGTCGGCAGAAAATTATGGAATAATCAAAAAGTGCCAGAATGATTCTGTCCGAAGCTACCAAGGTAGATTACTTGCGGCCCTCTCTTTATTTTGGGTTGCAGGCAGTACTATTTCAAATTTAAAAAAATTCAATTTGGAAATTCTATGTATTTGATTTACTTTAATCCCTCTCAAAAATAGCTGACTATGGTTAAAACTAATGACGCCCACAATATATACGAGGTAATTATGATAACTAGCAACTGACGATCTTTTGCCTACCTGACAGAATGCAAAAAGTTTCTGCAAATTCACGGCATCGGTGATGAAATCGAATTGTCCAAAATCGAGCGGTTTCTTCTTTTTCTCGGAAAGCAGTTTTGCAGCAATAATGGCCGCATCCAACGATCCATCTCGTACCTGGAAACAAATGCGCTGCTGCCAGTCGATTTGCTGAGGGAAGTGAAGCAAACGGGGACAGCTGGTGCCGAATATACTGCATAATGTCGCGCACCATAGGGTCCGACGAGGCTACAAATTTGGGGTATAACCAACCTTGAGATGATTGACGTCATAGATCACTACTCCGTGGTCCTGAGTCAGCTTGCCACCAGGCCAGAAGAATGACTCGACCGGCATTCCGGGGATCTGAAGGTTTCTCATATTTTTTAAGCTCGAAATAAGCAAGTATATGCGTATTTATAACTGCTCTGTATCGAGTTAAATTATAAAACTTGACATCAAAGGGCTAAGACTAAGAAAAACTAGGACATTTTCAAAACTATAGAGTTCACCTTCGGTCGTTTTTGTTCCATATTCAACTACCTCTCAACTTGAAACTGCAGTGAACCTAACAGAATTTTCAACCGTCTATATGAAGGGATACTTTACTTTGCGGAGCTCACTAAACAAAAAGTAATAATAACAAACCCAAATATTGAGTGGCAATTGACGTCTAAATTTGTTTTTCACAAAATCTTTTTTCCTTTTTTGAGTTTTCAAATATATCCTCTAACTGTGTAAGATTTTCCAGAACCAATCACACTCCTTCCACATTTAAATTCTGCACTTAAAAATCACAATACTGCTCCAAGACATATTTGGTGGCCTCGCTTTCGATAAAATATGTTCATCGGAAGACAATGCATGGTTAATGTTTGTGTAAAAAGCAGCTTTGCAGTTTTATCTTGTTATGGTTTTCCTAAAAGATGGAAGCGACGTAATATATATTGACATATTTAGAATTTTGAAATTTTGCAAATTAAGCTTCCTATGGTAATTTTTATGGTTTAGTAAACACTACGAAGAAAAATTAGCGAGAAAAGTTGAAAAAATTCAAATTTCAGTGAATTACCAATAGCAGCTGATGTTTTCAAAACATCCTAGGAACTTTTTCGAAAGTGTGGCGCTACGATTTCTTGCTGTGGCTTTAGTCTAAATTGATTGAACCAAGCTTGCAAGTCATATCTCTCTCTTTTATTATATTATATCTTTCGTTCATCAAAATTCTGCGTGGAGGCAAATGACCTGTGGTGGTGGAGATGCATTAGAGAAGGGGGGGGGGGGGAGAGTCAGAATAAGTGAAGATTTTGTGATCAGTGGGTTTGTAAACTCATAAACTTTGTACAACTACAACTAGCCTGCTGGCAACAAAACTGCACTATCCGAGTAGCCAATGTACAAATACATAAATTTCGTTTAGCGCTGACAAATGTGCAGCACTTTGCACATGCAGTCTCAGCCCTATTCTCATCTGTCTCGAAAAGAAAATATGTACACATAGATTTCTTTTAGATTTCTACGAAGTTGCTTGTCAGCCATGTGTATCTATAGTACAATATGCCTGCCATTTTTGAACAAATTATTCGAAAATGGATATAGGACGATTACGGCTATTCACCAAATTAATCTGAGGATTTGATCTCAAAGTTTTAATAAACTGATTTTTTGTATTCTATTCACTGCAAAAAATTTGCATAATCACCCCCGATAATAAATGTAGATAATCTTTTAAATTTTCTGCTAAGTGTTTTAAAATTTCAAAAATACATAAATAAATACATAAAAGTACCTGTAAAACTTGTTGTTGTCTAATGCAGAATTACACTAAGTAAATTCAAATTCTATATTCCCTTCTATAAATCTTTGGATAACATTTCAGCGATAGGGTTTGATTGGAAACCTTCAGCGAGATAAAAGGGCATATCGCAAGTAACCAATTCAACTCTTCTCTTAGGGAGTCCTGTCCAGTGATTTTTACAAAGTCAAATTTTACAATGATGGGATTCAAGGGTTTTGAAGGTACTGCTTACCTCTACAGCGCCCCAACGAGCGAAAATTTTGTAATATTTTTGTCCTGAAAACTGAAAAATTTTGCGGAGCAAAACTGAACATATTTGGGATCATCGAAGATGAGACCCTGCGATGTTGAAATTTGAAGTGCGGATGAAACGACGCACAAGTCGCTGCTTGATTTCTTTGCAGACTTTGCAAGAAATTTATTACTTCTGCTTGCATAATAAACACTTGCTCTGGGTAAATTTATGTTAAAAACTTTACCTGTTAGAATGAACTCACATACTGCTTAGTAACACAGTTTGTAAGAAATTTAAAGTTCCCTTACACTTGCTCGGTACCTATAGTACTATGATCGAATAATGATAATTTGACTCCCTTTGAAATTAAAGAAGACTACGTTACTACAACACCTGAACTTCTGTCTATAAGAATATTATTACGGTCATGGTAACTCTTCAATAGTAACCTTACTCAAAGCTGTAAGACTTTCTGTAAGCTATGTGTCAAATTCCCATTTCCGATTTTTGTTACAAATCAATTCCATGCTTACAGCTATTCTCGAGTAAATTCGAATTAGCCTTTTTATTGTACCACCACATGTTGCCCAGCAGAAAACTAAAACACATATGGGGTATGTCTAGACTAGACTTTTTGACTCACAACTTTGGAGCAAATCAATGTTTGTAGAACAGTTATAACTCACCAATATAGTAGGCGTATCATCAGGCAGGTACCACTGGTAACTTCCAATTCTGTCTACATATTTAGTACTTGTCGGACCACCTTTTCCAGATAAGTTGACGAGTGGCAGCAAACCGTATGGTTCTTCTTCCAAGCCTTCGAATAACCAGAAACCATCAGTCATCTGGAAAATGATTTTGTCATATATTATTTCAAACGTCTGTAAAAATGAAAGAATTGTGAAACAGGGGTTCGGTTAAGCAATATAAGAGCTCGCGGAATGTCTTAAATAAATGGGAATAAAACATATAATTTTGGAATTTGTAATGAGTTTTGCCAATTTTTCGAAAAATTGATTAGGATCGACTTACTAAAATGAGTTGTAGATTTGCAAGAAGCTACCAAATATTTTAAAAATTTGCTTCGAAAACTAAACTTTAGCTTTATGGGTTCCAAGAAAGTCCTATGAAACGTCAATGTATTATGAAGGGGGTCGATAGTGCGGAGGAGGGGCTTTGTTACACCAACAAATCGGATGTGAAGTGCGGAACACAGGGCTGAAGCCTGGCAGAGGTGTGAACTACATTTATAACTTGCATTGAGATCAATTGCACATGGTAGCCCGGAAAAAGTTGATGTAAAAACTGATACTGAAAAGCCTGGGCGCAAAATGAGCAAAAATAGGATTCAGCTGAAAAAGGGAAGGAAATGCAATAAGAAGCCTTGTAAATCTTCAAAAAAGAATCATACAGTTTATAATCACTATGAAGTCAAGCTTGAGTTTCGTTGGTGTCTCCTATTTCACAACAGAGGGATAAAGGCTACTTTACAATGGGGGTTTCGAGCGGCTGTTGCAGGTGGGAGGCAACAAAAACATAACTCAACATACGCCATCCCTTCACAACCCCGTTCGAAATGTCGCCTTGGGTAGATTTAAAATACATTGACAGATTTTTTTTACATTTAGGAATATGCCACTGATGTTAAATGCGGGCAGGACCCCTTCATAATGCCAACATTGCATGTTGAAAATTCGAGAATTTAGCAAACGGCTATACTATTCCAGGAGGTGATTACTGCGATTTCTGCAATTCCTTTGATACCTCAATTTCTGATGTGCCGCACTACCGAGCGCTTTGGGAATTTCAGTATACATTGTTTTTTCGCAATATGCATTGTTACGGGACCCGCAGCAGTCACAGGAATCGCAGGAATTGCAGGAATCACAGGAATAGTATGGCCGGGTCCTTGAAGGTTAATTCAGGTCGGATATTCACCTGCCGACCGCAGGGAGGCTACTACGTTTCAATAGCAAACCAAGCTATCGCACTATTATGCGCTTGAATATTTATCTGTGCCAAAATGAAATAAATGTAAATTGGTTTCAGATTCCACAGTTATATAGGGTGTCCCAAAAAATGTGCTTACTGTTTGACTGTTAATAACTCACTTGTTCGGAAGTTTGTGCTTTCGACAAGCTCTTGGTACCATGTTCTAGAGTTGATTTCAACTTAGATTTGCAGTATGAAACAAATCACCGATCTTCATCACTGTAGAATTACGGTAGAGACTCGCAGAATATGGCACCACTGTGAGATAGGCCGTTCAAAAAAATATTTCAATGTGGAGGCCAATGCCCAAGTCGTGGTCGCTTCGGAAGCCAGAAAATTGCTCTGGAATAACGAAGATGCACGAGGACCCCTAGATGGCACCGCCCTATCCATCGATGCCCACCCATCCGTGCGCCAATTAGCCAATCAGCGTTCCGGTAAGCCGGCCTGTGGGTTCTTCGGGACGGAAATCGTTGTAGCTTTCGCGGATTCTCGGCTTCATATTTGGATTCAGAGACATGAGAACGCCGCGGAACGATCAAAACATGGAAGTCGAGAATCTGGGTGGACGGTGCCTTTAACTACAGCTATCAACTTATGCGCAGAAGTAAAAGGCTTGTAGATGTTTTTCAATTAGGAACAACGCAGCACTGCTTTGATTCACGACTTCACACTACACATGGATCACCGCTTTTGCGGATGCTATAAGAACTTTCTTAGGACTCGTTTTGCTCAATCAAATCCTATCTACTTTAGTGTACAACCGGCCACGATAGTAGGCGACACGATAGAGCTGTTTTGAGCAACCCAAGTGGTTTGATATCACAAAAACCGCCAAAGTTTTATTCAAAATATTAAACATCAAAGTAATCTGATGCAGAAACTTTCCAAATATATGTACAGCATTTTCAGTATAGCATTTTGCACTTTCACTTTATTTACATTGAGAAGAAAAATACACAGTCACAACGAAGGATAAAGTTAGGACTCTAAACTGAGCGAAGGTGATTGCATGCTGATAAGAGGCCTAGTGGCTTCTGCAGTAGCTTCTGTATCAAAGCTCATTGAACATCTTGACGAGGGTATTGAATGCTCGTTGTGCTCCTCCGTAAAGTCGTACATAAGAGACAAACACGGAGTTTTGGGTCTATCATTCCTTCCTTCTGCTACCGTCACCACAACTCGTGGAATTTCGGAGATGGTGGAGCTAAAGATACGTGGATTAAGCAATATCTCTTTTGCTAAGTTGGGTATGATTCATAGTTCCTCATGAAAGTGTATGTATGTAGAAAGTACGCACTGCCTTACATTTGATACACTATGGCATACTACCTTGAATGTGACTTGTGATAGACAGGGGTCCCAAAATAATGTATCGAACGTTCGATCTCTATCAAGTTTCCTTATGTATAAGGCTTTCGACCTTCTTTGAACACTATGTGTATGGTTTCAACTTACAAGAACAGTCAGCCGAAATGGCCTTCCAAGATAGAATCTACAGGTGTCTCAAAAAATGTGCCTTCTGTTTGATTCTTAATAACCCCCTTGTAATTGAGTCTTTTGGAGAAGCTTTGGGAACCATTTTGTAAAGCTGGTCTCAGCTTAGATTTAAGTATAGAGCGGATCATCTATCTTTCTTCATTACTGTAAATTACGGTAGAAACTTCACGGAGTGTTTGGAGCCATAAAGGGTCATATTTTGGCTCAGAAAGAAAACAAAACAACTCAAAATCCTTCACACTAGGCTAATTAGAGTTGCCGATCAGGGCTCGGCACAGCTGGCACCGGGTCAAGCTGGATATCGTTTTTGGGACAAAAAGCAAAGTTTATATCGTTTTTGTGGCTAATAAGACACAAAAATTGTGACGTTTTTTAGTCAACGTTTCGTTTTTCAAAGATTTTTTACGTTTAGGGTCTAGGGTCAAAGGAGACTTCGTAGAAAATTTTCGAGATCAAAAGGGATTTCGTTCTGAAATGCCCCTGGTTCCAGCTAGTGCCGAGCCATGTTGCCGATGTTATTAAAAAGTTATGCCAGGTAAGCAGTACTGGCCGTTTTTCGAAGTTGCTAACAGTGTGATTACAGCATTCAAGAGCTTCACAATCTTGTACAAAGTTGATAACTCGGCTTTTATGGAAAACCTATTAAATGCACATGTTTTCGAATTTCTTTTCTAGTTTGTAATGGCAGCTTTTCCTCAGTGACAGCACAGCATGGCGGAAGTTTATATGGTAGTCGTACCATAACTGAGAGCGATCGGTGATTCGTCCTGTACTAAAAATCTAAGAAGGCCCGACTAGAAGGTGGTACCTAAAGCTTCTCGAAAGACTTCGTGAAAGAGAGTTTATAACAAACAAACAATAGGCACATTTTTGGTACACCCTGTATGCGATTTCGGAGGACATAAAATTCTGACTTTTATCTGTCTTCCTTATTCTTATTTGCGGAGCGGCAATGGGGGAGATGTTATGGACCTCTACTGGAGAAAGAAATCGAATGTGCAAGTAGGATAAAAAAGTTGTGACATTTTTCCAAATGCATCGAATATTATCAAAGCACTTTATGCAATAATTGTCCCTAAGTAAAAATTTCTACACTTTACTGCCACTATCAAGCGCTAGAAAGATTTTAGCAACTTTTTTATCCTAGGCACATGCAATTGTTGCTCCAGTAGATGCTCATAGTCGGCCATAAACGTCCGCAGATAAGGGAGACGGATTTGAAATCAGCGTTTTATGCCCACATTATGATAGATCCTTCTCAGAGGACCAGGCTAACTTTGATTTGCAGATTAAAGTAAGTCAATCACCCTTTATTAATGTTACGGTAGAAACATTCAGCTCACAGTGTCATCCTATTTTAACCGTGTTTCAAAAGAAAGATCCAAAAAAATCTGAAAAGTTGTGCACCAGGGTTACGCACACTGAGTTCAGTTCAGTTTACTCAGCTTTTACGAGTTCGTAAAGAAATCAGTTAATGTGTTTAACTTGGCACAAATTACCAACGAAGCATTGGGTAAAGTGCAAAGCTTATATTTAGTGTCAGCGACTATGTTTAGGCTTAGAAGCTAAGACTTAAAAGCCCTAAAAAGCTTTCAAGTTGCTTGGCTTGCTTTCTGAGGTTAAAAAGGGCTCTCAATGACTCATATCCTTTTCAAAATATACCGTAATCTGACAGAAGTGGAAAGCGATTGGTTAACTTCACACAAAGTCTAAGTTCAAGCAGCTCTACAACTGGTGTTCGAAAGAAGGCAAAAAGCTTTTCATAAGGAAAGTCACCGAAGATCAAACGTTTGAACATTACTTTGAAACATCTTGGATGCTCCGAAACTATCATCTTGTCAGAAAAGAAAAATTTTTTCTTTTTTCAGATTACTCTCGGAATTATTTGATACGACAACTCTTCTAAGCATGCATGTCTTCTTTCTATTTGAAGGTGTTCAGTAACCAATACATGATGCAGTTACGCATCATTTTGATCATGAGGGTTTATGAGATTTCATTTTAATAAAATATATGGTTTTTTTCCTTTTAATACTTCACAACACTAATAAATTGGAAAGAGGCAACAATTAAAAAACAAGTAATGCTGGCAGAAAGGAAGTTTGAACCGTCAATAGAAACTGGCTCTGATCGATTTTGAATTTTGCCTGTGGGAAAAAAGAAAGCTTTCTTTTTCGGTTTTTTCCGCGAAAATTGATAAGACTTAAAAACTCACCTTGTTGTTCGCCGTTGCTGCATCAGTGCAGGGCTACTTCTCCAACCTCGGAACTCACCGCCATTTGTGCGAGTCAACCATGCTGTCACCTAGACATGTTATTCTATATTTCCTACTTTTCAATCAACAAGAGGCACGCAGCAAAATAATGGATGTTTGTGAGCAAATATAAAATATTTGAAAGCAAATTTAGAACCAAACATGTGAGGAGAACGTTGCATTCATCAAATGTCCTGTCTTGGCACGTCCACCCACTGAGAGTAATGAGATTTTGAACTATGATAGCACGGCCCCTAACCAAGTGGCCCAAGTCTCGCTGCAATAGACGAATTCCAAAGCGATGAAACCTCTTCAAAGATAGAAGCGCATACGTTGGGTCCGCCCATGAACCTGGATTGCCTGAAGATACGTTCGAAATTGGGCTTCAGAATAGATAGAAAGGACACAAATTGGCATAATGAAGGAACAATATGGGCAATTCTGGGCACATTATGGCTCAAGTTTGAAACTGTTATCTTCAGACCACCCACTTGGTGGGTGGGCGGAGCCACCACGGCCGAATCTACCTTCTTGAGCAATTTTCTCGCTTCGGACCTCATATTTTGCAGCGGGAGTTGAGCAGTCATTTAATTAGGGGCCCGCTACTAAACAGCATCAAGATCTCACGAACTTCAATTAGGATGGACGGTGCGTCGGTGCCTTTGAGCAGATTCAAAGCAGTATACCTTTGTTTTCGCCTTCATTAACCTTCGCCGTTGCCTTTCCCGTAAATCGAGTTCTTCGCGAAAACGCATTGCATCAAGCAGGGCTTCCATCTAACGACAATTTCGTTAACTAATCTGTGGCTATGATATAATTGTAACTGAGCTTACTTGCACCGTTGAGGATGATCTTTTAATAGACCGTAACATAAGTAGCAAAATCACTAGAGAAAACATCAGCAGTATGGAGATTGTATATGCCATTCTCCCAAAATCAGGATCATCAAGGATATAAGAGACGTATGTTTGTGGACTACGCTGTGGAGCTATCAATCTGAAACAGCTGTTTAAAAGTCAGTCAAGCAACAGACTGTAGTTATTCACTATATATTAAGTGAAGTTTAACCGTCAGATCTCCTTTCCTAATTTGCAAATAAGTTTTGGAAAAAATTTATGCGCTTGCTTTATTGTCTGTGCATGTTGCTAGGTTTTTGCTGTTTCTTAATGTTAACTAACAGTGTTTTAGATTGTGGTAAAGGATATCCGTCGACGACTGTCTCGACTCGTGCAATTGCACCACTTAAGTGTGCCTTTTGGGTGGAAGACTACATGTCGGCGACTGTGGGAGGGTCCCGCGCGGATTTCTTGCAAAAACGCACTCCGTGATGTGTAAGGGTGCGTATTTGTTACAAATGACCGAAAGGGCCTCCCCCTTTCGGCGACATATAGTCCCCTACCCTTGCGCTTTTGGAGCCTCTCCAGCTTGACAGTATGCTGCAGCTCGCGGAGACTTGGGCTCGCGGCATCCCGTCCTTTGTCTTCTTTCGTTTGCTAATGAAGTAACGGTCAGAACAACCCAGCCATTTCAAACAAGCTATATATCATTCGGACTCGGCTCGGAAAGCTGATTTCAAATAGATGTTTTATATGTTTATTATCTGCCGAACAACTTCTGGAAGAAGTTCTGAGCGTTTGATTATGAGAACTTACTCAAGTCTCAACGGATGTAAATCTGCAAAGCAACCTGAAGGCACGTAATCACATGATTATGAGTGCTCTCATTACAACGAAAAAACACATTTGCCAAAAACCTAATTGAGTGCTCTTGAATCGTTTTTCACGGAGCATATAATACTTGAAAAATCGCGCACTACCTTGTAGCTCCTTTCATACAGTCATTCTGCAAATAATAAACGTATATTCGAAATCAGCTTTTCAAGGCGAGTCCGATGATGTTGTTTGAAATGGCTAGTATTCTATCCATTTCTTGTTGAGCGTTTCACATCGCTTATTCTTCTTATTTTTCATTTCGGTTAAGCAATTTTCTGATGCCTAGTGAGACCATTGCCACGGGCAAAGTAGAACAAATAATGAGCCTTTTTCGTATAGTTGATTCGTTGACCGCACGGACTGGACATCATTGCTGAGCACGCGCCGCGAGTTAAAACGTTTCCAGTACAAATTCGCCGTTGTACAAGTCGTGCTATCGCGACAAATCAGCCGCGGCACGAGGCGTCCGCAGCGTTTGAGCAGTCCATGCGGTCAACAAATCGACGGTAGTTGCAGTAGTGGATATCCTGGCTATGATTGGGATTGCATGTTTTCTTCAGTATTTGGTAATGATTTGACATGTTTCTCAGGACAGACCGCTGAAGTGGTTACTCTACCACTCCTACATCAGGGACGCCATGTAGGAGTGCTGAAATAAACATTCGAGTGGTCTCATCTAGACAGGAAACGATCCCGTTCTAAGGTGGCCATTTGGAATGAGACGCATATCATTAGGTGCGTCTTGATGAGCCAATTCCAGATCTATCTTTCTTACCTACGACGCCGTTCTCTGCAGAAGGTCATCGTTCAGTATCCAAATTTGGCAAACATTCAGCGCCACATCCTCAAAAACTGGTAGTTAAAAAACGCTTATCTGTATCTTCGGTAAATGTGAGCATCCCCTGAAATCAGGACACTGAATATCTTGCTACTCATGCACTTTTAGATTGGATTCAAAACCTCATCATGCGTTAGAAATCTAGTGAGTTCACACATTTGAACGCATTCCAATGTGTGAAGCCAGTGGAGTTCTATGCTTGATGTGCTTCAAAATTCAACTTTGAAGTGCATGATTATCAAGATATTCAGTGCATAGATTTCAGAGGATACTCACATTTACTGGAGACACGGATAAGTGTTTTCGAACAGTCAGTTTTCGAGGATGTGGCGCTGAATGTTTGCCAATTTGGACATTTAAACGCTTCTAAGTTTCTCCATGGAAGACATCGCAGATAAGAGACGTAGATTTGGAATCACCTCATCAAGACTCATCTAATGATATGCGTTACATCTAATTGGCCACCTTAAGTTGGTATCGTTTCCTTGTAAGAAAAATCCATGATAGCCACCAATGCTTATGAACAAAGCACACCCTTTTACCTAATTTGCCCGGGGCGATGGTTCACGATTTTGAAAAAAAAATTTTGATGGGTTAAAAAGGAGAGGAATTCAAGAGTGCCTAAACTAATTTTCTTTCGGTACCCATCAAAATACAACGTAGGATTCGAGAGAACCTAAGAGAAAGGGGAAACGAATAACTGTCTGAAATACAAAAATTAGAGTAAAAACGACGTGAGATGCCTAAATCAACAAAAGAGGCTAAAGGGCAGTGTTGCTACCATGTCCCCGCGCGTGCAGCGTAGTCACCCTGGAAAGACATAAAAAAACACGCCCGCGTTGGTGCAAATGCAAGATTCGCGGTAGTCGTCTTGAATTGCAGCGTTTAGAGCATAAGCGGCTAGTTTGTCAAGTTGAATATGACAGAAACAATTTGCTCATGTAGTGAATTTCGCCTATCTATCCGAAACTCACTGAAATCCACATCTTTCTTTCAATTCTTGTACACAGGTGCAAGCTGCAAGCACATCCAGCGACATTTTGTAAGACTTCTGTGAGACCACTGAAAGAACTTTCGGATGGGGTTGTCAACATAGCTACGAACTTTTGAGTCAAAATCCTCGCGATCATCTGTGGAATAAAGAGGGAAGTCGAGAAGAAAAGTGAACTAAATTCTTGAAACATAAGATTATGAATTGGTCACAGACGTGGTTGAAGAAAGGCTTTAATGCTTATAAAGTAAGATACAATGATTAAATAAGGAAATTTAGAATATGATTTGCAAAATGTTGACGAGGAAAAGTTATGTTTGAAGTTCAGATGTGTGATCATCTGAGGTTGGAAAGACTTTCATTTCAGAGAAGTTCTTCAAAGCTTTTACATAAACCTGTTCTACACCCAGAGTTTAATATATAGTAACATTTTAGTTCCAGAACTCTTCTCCTCCTTATTGATATCAGGAATGGCAGCGACGCCGGGAAAGAAAGCACTCTCCAATCAAACAACCTACGCAGCTGGCAGCCAGAAAATAAAATGATTGATAGTGGAAAAGGCAAAATCGTTTCACCGATGTCCATTTGCCAGCCTCGCTCTGGACCTCTGATGACTTCAGATGTTCATGCCTTTAAGCGTGAATCATCTGTATGTCATCATTGCGAACTGCATATTATCGTTAATAAAAGAAGCATATTATTCATTTCCAAAGATGGTCAGAAGCAATTCTATCAAGACTCAGTAGTACTAAAGAATATGAAAAGGTGCTAACCTTGCAGAATCTCCACGAGAACGTAAAAATTAGTGAGACACATTGTAATATGACAAGTGGTAAGATATATTGAGAGCTTCCAGGGCAATCGTTTGATAGTGTTGATTTTATGAACTTTTGTTGCATATCCAACTTCTTTATTCTGGGTTGGCCATAAGCAACGAGACTTACTGCAATTAACGTACATTCTATCGCGCACATAGCGCGCCAGTTTTATCGATTTTTCAATCTCATAATTTTTTCTAATTCCTGTTAAACTTTGGTTAAATTTGGTCTATTTATAGTGAAATGGTGAAGCCTTCTCCTGATCGTTCCGCTATCGTTCGTCTGCACAAAGCCGGCCGGCCTAGCCGGCCCCGGCGTCAACATCGACAAAGATTACTATTCGAAGACGATTCTGGAAGATGCTCTACTCCCGTAGGCGAATTCCCACTTTAACGGCCGCCCGTGGAATTTTAGCAAGATTCGGCGCCCGCCCACAAGGCCAAGGTCGTCCAAGCGTGGTGCAAGAGCAAATTCTCCGACTTCATCAGCCAGAAGAACGGCCGGCATCGTCACCGGATTTGAACCTACCTTGAGAGCAAGGCCTGCGCCACTCCTCACCCCTCCTTGGATTCACTGAAGGCAGCGCTCATCCGAGAATGGGACGAAATCGACGACGCACTCCTGCGTCCGGTCATCGACGCCTTTCCCAAGCGACTCCGCGCTGTCGTCTGTGCCAAAAGTGGCCGAATCGAGAAGTAACTTATGACTGTTAATGTACCAGTTGTCACTTAATAAATGTTATGTTCATGACTCGTTTGCTCTTTTGCTTTGTGAGATATAAGGTGAAAACCTTGTCGCTATATTTATGGCCAACCCGTAAATCAATTTTCACACTTGATAACACCAAAACTAATCTTCACTGTGATAATGACATATCAACACTTCAGAAATGGGATTGACTACCTAATTCGATGCATCCTGTTCTAAAAGGTACCAGAAGACTGCAAATTACTGCGTGTGCAGTCGTCATTTGGAGCTGCGCTCTTGATTTCGTAATAGCTATTGGGATACAAAAGTAATGCGGCAATTATTAGGTTGTCCCATAATTATTTACTGTTTTTTCCTTAAAAATCAGCATTTCTCGAAATCTGGGGAACCTTTAAAATTTTCAAATACATGATCGTACTCCTATATGTATGAGCTATATGATCACCTGTGTGGGAGGAGCTCAAAACTTCAGGGGCGGAGTTTGCCGTTTTACTCATTCAATTTTTTCTTTATTTCTAGCCATGGAAAAAATGCGAAAGTTGTATGATTGAATGTTCGATGTGTCAAGCACATGTTAAGCTAAGAAAGGAATTTTTTAGAATTTTTGGGGTGGAGATACGATTTTTGGCAGTAAAATTCGTTTTTGACTGCTATGATATTCTAGCTCATAACCTTAAGTGGATTACGATTTGTGCAGACTCTTGATAGCCATCTTGTAGAGCTTGCTTAGCCCTATCGAATGGTTAATCAAGCGGCATCACTTGGAGAAAAAATTCAAAAAGCTGACCGTCGAAATAAAAACGGTAAATAATTATGGGACAACCTAATAGAAGAAATGCAGTTTTCTCAAATGTAAATATCAGTTGAATGCTTGAAGACATAGTTTGCTTGAAATCAAATGCTGATTATTCGCTTTGGTCAAAGCCGTTTTTTATAAAAACTGATGTGTTTCCGGCAATTATCCTTGCCACAGAACTTCGCATGTAATCTCTGTAGGAGTACAACCATGACTCGAAGGGAAGAAAGGGGTAAGTCTAAACAAGGCTCAAAAGAGAAATAGAGTTTGGAAAGCTGCTAATTAATAAGCGATCCTGAACAAGTAAACGAGGACATATTAGGTTGAATTGTGTTGCAGCATCTTTAAGTCATGACTTCATTCTGTCACATTGTTGTTGTTCGTTATTAATTTCTCCAGGAAAAGTGAAATGTACCTTTTAACGACAGTTTGCTTGTTCTCCTTCTACGTCTACTTGGTGGAGAAGTCATGGACCAAGATCGCAACGTCACGACAATGCGCTGATTGGCACGAGCAAGATTGAATTTCTGCCATCGAAGGCGATCGAAGTCGATTCGCCCAACTCAAGCCGTAAGCGGAATCATCGCGGTATCTATTGTATATAACCGCTGAGGATGAATAAATGTAAATGTAATGCTTGTTCTCCACTGAGCTCTGATTGCAGAGATAAAACTGGAAAAGAGATCTTTTGGGGTGTGGTAACTCAAAGCAAGCCCGTTAAAAATGTATAAAATTATACAGGAAAATCAAGAGCAGCCAGTCTTACAACTGTCCGACCTATTCTGTCTACCTGAGCAAAGTTTGCGCTGATTGGACTTTTTTGTTGAAAGCTATAATCTTTGAGAAAAATGCCAACAAATCATTGTTTCCTTTTTCTGTTGATTTCACAGCTCGAACAGCACATATATTGCTCAGTCAGGAAGAGGAAATTAGAAAACCTATGACAATGGCTATTTTAGATTTATCGCACAGTTTTAGGTTTTTCAAGGGTTTGCCTCAAGTCACCGAACTTCAGTAGATCCCCTTTCCCCATTTTTTTCTTTGCACTCAGTTTGTAGTCAAGAGGAGCAAGACATTGTCGGAAAGTGCATGGTTCTACACTTCTCAACAAAATTATTTATGACAGGAAGAAGTTACGATTTTTTGTAAGATGTGCCTTGGAACTTTTGACATAATGCAATCTAATATATCCGCAGCGCGAAATTCGGAAAAAATCATTTTCAGCTGTTGAATTTACGAGGATCTAGGCAAAGGGCAGGTTATCTGAATAAGCTGACTTTCATATGTGCTTAGGAATGTGTTTCAGAATGGAAAACGTTGAAGTGATCATCAAGTGCGCAAAGTCTAGGGGCAAAGTATGTACATATGTTCATCCTTCAAATTTTTCTATGTGATGATTATGTACTCGGTTTTGAACCTTGATGACTGCTATAGTGAACGTGAAATAACAAAATTGCTTTCAGGCAACAATCCACTAGGTAGAAGTAAAGCTAGAAAGGGTGAGATTTGCATCACTAGACAATTCTTGTCATAAAAGTCAGTCAACACTCATTGTCAGAGTTAACAGTATTTTCCTTTTTTGAACAAGCGATTTTCATCTGTAATCTTTCTCTGAATCTATTCTTTCTGAGTTTTATTTGCATTCATATTGAATAGATTGCGATTTGATGATGAATGATTGTCAGTTATCAATCAATCAAACAGATCACAATCCTACGTAAAACTGATTATCATCTCGCTTTTTGGAATCTCCCCGTAATGCGATTATAAAGATACGCCCCAAAGCACATTTTGAAGAGTAAATTCCACTATTTCACCTCATTAATGTCATACAACTGCATCCTTCTTCTGCCACAACTTATCACGGTGTGTTGTATCACATTTCAACTATGATCAATTTAACTCCATATGCCTATAATTCATTTTTGAGAAGTGACAAATTATATTAATTTTACAACTGGAAGAAGAAGGTAAAGCATTTTTGAATCTATTGAGTACACTCATAATATATTAGGCTGTCCGGAAAATAATGTCGCATCGTATTTTATCATGCAATATCGCAGCAGGGTGAGGCGGAAAGTAAGTAATTGGGAAACCAACCGATAGATTGAAGCAAGCGCTTGAAGCACAAAATGAAGCTCAACCTTCGCCAAGTTTGATCTACGTGAAGTTTGGAGCCAAATTTCATGAAGCACTAAATCCTAAAAAAGAAAAAAAGATCGTATTTCCGTTCAGAAAAGCCCTAGGAACCCCTAACTTGCTCACATATGGATTCACTATACCAGACTCTCTTACGCACATTTTCGTGCCTTTTCATGGCTGGAAATTGAGAAAACGAAATTCGGCATATTTTTGTCAGAGCAATCTTAAGTTCCTCATGAACAGGAAGTGGAAGTACGAACCTTTGAAAGTCTAGCCATGAAATTTCAGCTTTAGATAAGCTCTAGTTTACGAGAAAAACCAAATTGTTTACAAAAAACCCGAGAAACACGACATACTCGCACTATTGACCTGATTTTGTTTGTTGTATTGTAGCCATGAAAAAAAAAGCACAAACTGTACAGTTAAATGTCTAATGTGGAGAGTACATGCCTGTGCAGATTGGAGCCCCTAAGTCGTCTATGGACGGAGGTGCGATTTTTCGGGTGTCTGAAATTTTTTATATTTTGGATTCGAACTTTTTGAGACTAAAAGAGCAAGATTTCCGCGGAGATTTGTAACTATCT